ATGAATATACAAACAAAAACATTATCATGTATTTTCTCATTTACTGTTAAACCTGGTAAGAAAATTGGGACGGCAAAGAACACGTGTAGCTTATATTTATAGCGCTGCCATTGGCAGTATCACTCCACCCCCTGTTAACAAAAGGGATTAATTAGGGTGAACGATGGCCATGTGAGGACCTATACAATTTTTTTCCTTTGATTTTTTACCTGGATTACTGAGATGCATCAGGACTTATATTTATGGCAACGCAAGTTCAATTATTTAGATTTAATTATTTAATTAAAAAAATTCCTAAATTCCTAAAGTTCTAGTAGATATATTAAAGTGGACATGTGCTTTTAAATTACTTATTTCAGTTAAATCATTTATTTGGGGTCTATATAAAATTAAATTGCAACACTTTGGTCTTAATTCCTCCTTGTTGTAACTCCACACGCCCTTCTTCACCCCTTTTCTGAGGTGTGTCTCAGATGAACTCGTTTTGAGGCTGTCTCTTTAGATCCAAACAAGTTGCTTTACACCCAGTTTCAACACAAAAACTGTCATGTAATAGTTCAGGAAATGTCAAAGAAAATAAAGAACACTGAACGGGTTGAAAAATATGACCCCAAAAAATATAACAATATCTACGCAGCACCAGGAGAGACTGAATTCAAATTACCGTCTTCCTAGAAACTTCAAGTACATAACGAAATTAATTGAAAATTAAAAAATGCATTTTGCATATGTCCACTTTAAAACATTTAATTTTTCACTTCCACAATACTGCAGGTTTAAAATGTGAGAGTAGCTTTTAAAGCTCACTTCAGCAGGACATATAGTGCCATCTACTGCTTAAATATATTATTACAACTAATGTAACGTTCACACAAATATTTACAAAACTGTCTAAAACATGTCACAGTAGCTCATGGAAACACTGTTTTAGAAACCTTTGAATCACCACCAGTTTTACATCACGAAGACTTTTGTGGTTATTTGTTTGCAAGCGCAGATTTAGCACAAACAACAGCTAGCTAGCTAGCTAGCTTAGGCCACTTCACAGAGTATCATAAAATTTACTATTTAAATTTAACAAAACACGTGGGTAATTCAAAATTATGTACAATTTAAATAATAAAAACAGAGAAAGTAAAGTTATAAAATAAAAAAATGATAATGTACTTTTTTTTAGACTTGTAAACTTAGCAGTGCTCAAGCTAGCTGTTAGCTTTTGTTAGCTGCTAGGTATTCTCGAAACGGAGGAATTCCTATACTTTTATTCGTGTCAAATCAAATAAACATTGAAATAAGATAAATGTGTCTTTTTGTTAAGGTGTGCAGGTCTTACAGCCCGGATGTGACGTTTCTTCAGGATCCAGCTTCCACCTCCTGGTGAGAACGGACAGATGTATTTGGGGAATCATCTGATGGAAATATAAGAAGTTTGTCCAGGAGACCTCTAGTCCTCTCTGAAAGCCCCCCTGTAAAATAGTTTTCATATCCACCTAAAGCTGCTTTTTCTCCCCCTACAACTGAAACAATGAAGACTTCTTTGTTCAGCTAAAAAAATAATAAAATTGTGGTAAAACACCTCTGATGAGACTAATGGCAGCCAGTCAGCCCAGCTGTAAAACTGATGAAGACCTGAAGTTCTTCAGGTCAAATCATGTTTTCCTGCACAGATAAAGAACAGAAGAACTTTAATGACTGGATAATTGTTCAGAGAACTGTGATGTCTTGGTATATTTAAATATTTGATGGAATAAATAAAAAATGTTTTTTTTTGTCCTGGTGCACCAAATAGAAAGATTTCTACACTTATCTGTACAATTTAATGTTGTCTTCTATTTTGTCTCAACTTTGAACTGTTTTCTCTGACATCAAGCCATTGATTCATTATTAGCGTGTGCCATAGAGTATCTTATGTGTAATTATTAAAAAAAAAAAAACAACTAAAAGGGTTGAAGAAAATAACAGTGAAAAGGTTTGAGTCTTAATGTTTTTGTACGCTGGCGTTTTTCACAAACAGCTTTAAAAAACGGACCCTGTTTTATGACCCTGGAGACCTGCAGAGACATTTAATAAAAACTTATAAAAAATGAGTTTTTGGAACAAAAGAGACAATTTTACAAAATGTCAAACCCTGGATTGGATGTTTTACGCCTGTTACCTGTTCAAAGTTCTGCTTTTCTCTCCTGATCAACATGTTTCTGTTCTGATACTGAACATGTTTGCTCCAGTTTTAATATTTTCTGTTTTAATTTGGATTTAAGGGGGTAAAGGATGTAAGTTGACACTGCCGTATAACAGAGAAAAATAAAAATAAATGCAGAATTTGCTCTTTTTCATGATATGAGCTGAAATTTTTTGACCTGAGTTTCAAACTGAAGTGAAAAACAAACCTTTTTTTTGTTTGTTTTTGGTTGTTCGACAAAAGCCACGACAAGTGATATAAAACTGTCATTACAGTGATTTTATTATAATGAACCATGAAAATAGCCAACCAGTGCAGTGTCTGTGAGTCTCTCTCCTCCACACAAACATACACTCACACACACACAAATAAAAAAAGACAAAAGTTGAAGAGTCAATGGGGGGGAGGAGGAAGAGGAGGAGGAGGGGGCGGTAACAAAATAAAAATAATGCTACAGTCACAGAAACATTCAGCTTTGCCGAGAAGAGCGTTCGTATTTACAACCATATTTCAAAATGGGATGGSAGCGAATTGTACAAGCGTAGAAAAAAAAAAAAAGAAAAGAAGCAAATATTTACAACCTGTTTCTGGTGAAAGCTGAAGTAACCAGMTATACATTAAATTACACTTTCTACAAATAACCATTGATATTCAAAAATAAACCGCTAATATCCTACTTATAGGTGAGTCCGGTCCGTCTGCCTCAGAAGACTACAAACACTCGTAACACACACGCATGCTCTCTCTCTCTCTCACACACACACACACACACCCTCCTGAGGCAGAGAGGCGGGCACCTCGAAATGGATCTTTCCTGAATCTGCAGCAGTGAACAGATCTTTTTTGTTGTTAGACAGAGGATTAAAAAAAATAATTATGTTTTTTTTTCTATACAAAAAGCTTTCTCTTTGCTATAATGAGCCACTAGAATAAAACGTTAACTGTGTACAGGAGCTGACAAGAGGAAGTATAATGAATAACTGGTTTAAAAAAAAAAAAGAGGGAGATAAAGAGGCTGGAATGTCCATTTATAAACAAGGTGTGGGGCCTTTAAAATGGGATTCCAAACAAGACAGAACCGATTTCCTCTCCATCTTATAAAAACAAAACAAATGGAGGCCAGAGAGGATTATGAGCACCAGGGGAGGATTGTCCATCTTCATTTCCAACAGTTTGTCTTGAAGATTTTTTTTAATTTCACCGTCTGTTTTTTTCCTGAAAATTTCCTGTCCTTGTTTTTCTTWTTTTCTTTAAAGTACCCTTTTATCCCACAATCAGCTGTTTTTTTCCACTGGCCACGTGTTCAGGTACATAGAAAACGTATCTACAGCTTATGGTACACGCCCCTCTCGGGTAGAGTTCTTAAGGGCTGAATATGAGGGGGGGTGTCAGTGCCACCCGGTGCTCAGGTACCCCGAGCTGTGGAATGGGGTCGAGGACGCGGGAGCTCCACGAGTCCCAGAAGGCATCTGGGGGGCGGCGGCCTGTGCCTGGCCTTGTTGAGTCTGTTGSGGTGGAGGCGGGGGAGGAGGAGGCAGTCCGGACTGCTGAAGGTTCGCGGGGTACGTGGATGGGGGTACTGAAGCGCCCGCCGTGGCGCCCGGGTGCATCAACGCTGGCTGAAACCCCCCTAAGTTCTGATAGTGGTGGGGCTGCAGCGGGGTGTTGGAGG